GCCGCGGCGCTTGCCGTGTCGGCGCTGGTCGCCGACGGCGCCGCCGACGCTGACGCCGACGCAGCGAGCGGCGCAACGCCGCTGGGCGAGCGGGCGGGCGGCGGGGGGGAGCTCTGGTTGGAGGAGCACTGCGAGGAGTACGTGCCCGCTGACCTGGCGCCCTGGGTCCCAGCTGAGGCCGAGGCGGTTGCCGTGCCGGACGCCAAGCGTCCAAGGATCGACCTCGGGGCCGCGGTCGCTGACGAGGACGACGACGAGGACGCATGCCTGGTGGACGCCGGCGCCTGCCAGTTTGGCGCCGGCCTGTCGCCCGCGCAGAGCGGCGCCCTGTGCGCCCCAGAGTTCGACGCCGCGGCCGCGTTTGACGCCACGGCTGCGTTTGACGCCGCCGTGCCAGCGCCATCGCCCACGCCGGCGCCCGCGCGGCCCGCCGCCAAGGGCCGCAAGGCCGCTGGCAGCAAGGCGCGAAGCAAGCCCGCGGCGGCGCAGCACGCTGAGCAGTCCTTCGCCCCTCGCGCGGGCGCGGCCGGCGAGGGCCTGACGCGGCGCCACAGCTCGCCGCTGCCGTCCCCGAATGTCCCTGGTTGGGTGCCGATCGAATCTGGCAGCAGCGCGCAGGGACTCAGCAGCCCCCTGCAGGCACCACCCCGCGCGCAGACGCAGTCACCGCCGGCGTCGCTCACTCACATGACCACCTGCCCCAGCTCAGCGGAGTCTGTGCAGCAGCCAGCCGATGTGGCGGCCGCGCAGCAGCAGTGGATGCTGATGCAGCAGCAGTGGGCGGCGCAGATGATGCCGGGCGGCTATGCCGCGCCGCCGTGGGGCCACAGCGGCGTGTGCGGGGCCCCGCAGCCGCCCGCCTGCGCGTCATGCTCTGGCTGCAGCGGCGGCTGGCCCGCGCCGGGCGGCGGCAACCAGCAGCAGCAGCAGCAGTGCCAGGCTCACGACCAGCCAGCCGTCGGCTGGCCGGGCCCGCCGCCCGGCGGCGACGCGGCCGCCGCCGCCGCTTTTGCGTCATACCAGCAGCAGGCCATGTGGCAGCAGGCGGCCATGTGGCGCCAGATGTGGCAGCAGCACCAGCAGCAGCAGCAGGGCGTCGTCATCGGCGTGCCCGTTGAAGAGATATATGGCGGCGCGGAGCAGGGGCAGCAGGCCTGAGCGCAAAGCGCCCGCGGCGCAAAGTCAGTTTGTGGACTGTAATTTCTAGTCGAAGGGAAGCCGACCGTCGGTCAGCTTCCACAACGGACCCCCCAAATACGCACGCACACGAGCACGTGGCGCAGGATGGGGCGGGAGCCGGGTTGAATTGCGAGCCGCGTGTTTGATGGACCCTTGACCACACTTGTGAGCACCCCTCACCCCCTTGATGTCCACATCCGCGTTTCTCCCACACATAAAACGCAGCACTTGTGTTGTTTTGGTGGGCCGTGCGTTTTGAACCGGGCCGACTTGCGTCTGCTGAGGCATTGCGATCCGCGCTCGCGGTGTCCCGCCTCCGCCCGCGCGGGCGCGCGCACCAGGACGGCCGATTCTATCATGCATAGTGGCGTGCGCGATGTGCGCACAGGGATGACGCCGTGTGACCCACCCACCCGAGACGATTGACCCACCGAGTCCACCCACAGCGAGTTTGACCCCACCTCAACACCTCCTCTCCAGCCCCTCTGTCTGTTTGCCCCATCCCTCACCTCCGAATCCCTCCTGAACTGCCTCGTGCGGCCTACTGGAAGGGCAGGAGGCACAGGCGCCAAGCCACCCCAGACCATTGACCCGAGAGAGCTCTTGTTGTAATACTGCCCACATGAGTGACGACACGGCCAATGGGCAGTTGCAGCGGGGCTGCAATCGGCCGGGAATTCAAGCAGAGGCGCTGCTGCATGCAATGCATCTGTGGCAGCTTCCCCGGTGCGCGAGACGGGCTAACATGGGGCTAGGCCCTGTGTCGTCACAAGTAGGGCAGGGCGCTGTCATGCATGGGGGCTTCCTGATGGGCTTCTCACCGCGACTGCCCCGGGCTTTTGGCTGACTGTGGACAACAGGGCGCTGATTGTGGGCGACAAGGGGTGACTTACAGGCAGATGGGTGTGCGTGCTAGTCAATCCGATCCGAGAGCTGCCCCGGCCCCGACGGCGCCGCCTGGACAAAAGGATCGACGCCGGGGACAACGGGGAGCATGCAGTGAGGAATGGGCACATGCATATGATGTTGAGTCCGAAAAAGATGAAGCTTGTCGCCTTCAGGCACAAGGGTTGAGGGGCAGACGTGATGATAGTGGAAGGAGAAGGGAGGAAGGGGGAGCGCTTCCTGGGCATTAAGCCTGTCGCAACAGCAAGGTTGAGCATCCAAGGGCACAAAGGCGGCCGATTGCATATAGATAAGTCTCCAAGCAGGGGCGGCCCTGCATGAAGCGCCTGAAGGGTGGTCAGTGCCTCCCGGCGGGCCGCCGGGGCCGGGCGTGGACGTCGTCAGTGTGTCGTGTCAGGGGGTGCGGCGGAAGCCTGGCAGGCGCACACACTCCCCACGGCAGGCGTCGGGAGCTGTGGGCAAGGCGTGGCAGCGGCACATGGCATGGGGGAATGCAGGGGACCAAAGGTCCAGGCAGTCTGGCACCGCAGTTGGCCGTCGCAGGAAGCGCGGGGCACATGCCGCCCCCTTCAGGGAGGCCGGCGCCCGCTAACAGCTCGCGTTGGTGCGGCAACAACCGCATGCATGGCCCTGTGTTGCATTAGAGCGGCTCGTATGGAGCGAGCCAAGCAAAGGCCGGGGGCTTCAGCAGTGATGGGCAACACTTGCGCAATGTCAGTCGGGCGCGGCGGGCGCCGCGGTCGCCGCGTGGCGCACAATCTCGCCGCGCGCGCGTTCGAAGCACATCGAACGGGACGGAAGCAGTGGTGGCACGCGGGAGTCAACGCAGGCAACATGCAGAAGCGAGCGGTCCTCGAATCGGTCAACCTGTCTTGGATGGGTGAGAAAGCTCGCCCTCCCGTAACCTGATATAAGATCTGAGCCGGCACCCACGCAACTTTGGGCAGTTCTTCACGCATGCCCTGTCAGCATCATTATCAAGCAGCCCGCATTAGGGCCCGCGCAGCAACGCGAGCCGCGCCGCGCGGCGCGGCGGTTGACGCGCCGCCCCCCCGCACGGGAGAGGGGCGCGCGGCCGCGCGACGACGGCGCGGCGCGCGCCGGGGCCGCCTGGCTGCGCCGAGGGGGCGGACGGCAGGTGTGTTGGTCCTGATCTGTTGATTCCTGTGTGACGTAGCTGCGCGGCCTCGCCGGGCAGTGATGCGATCTGCCAGTTCGCACGAGATCAGATCAGATCACGCGGCCCGCTTGATGCTCGTGTACAGGGTGCTGCGGTCGTCGCCCCGGCGCTCGAACACAACTGCGGTGCGCGTCGAATTCAACACGCCGCGGCGCAGGAGGGAGGGAGGCATCGGGTCAGCAGGAGCTGGAGCAGCAGGACCCCGGCCAGTGAGGCCCCGGCGGCCGCGCCCGCCGCCTGCCGCTCGCGCCGCGCGTCGGACGCTGCCCGTCGCCTGTGCGCACGATCGGGCCCCGGCGCTGCGCGGGCTTCACCTGTGTCCCCAACCAGCACGTTGTGGGCGCGCACGAAGTCGCGCCACCCGGACGTCAGGCGCAGGTGGCGCTGCGTGTTGCACACGGCGCCCTCATATACCAGCTGCCACCTGGGGTGGGAGGGGCGCATGGAAGGGGGCGGGGTGAGAAGGGGCAGCATTCCAGCGCCCCGGCCGCATGCATGTGTGGAATCGGCGGGGGCGCGGGAGGGGGCGTCACGCGGGCAAAGACAGGTTCACCGCCGCCGAGTGAAGGGCGCCGCGCACAGGGTGACCGGGCCGGGGGCAAGCGCGCCCCCCGACCGCGCTCGCGGGCCCCGCGGTGGGCGGGCGGGCCGGCCCCAAAGACAGGGGGTCTGCAGCAAGCTTCAATTATTATTTATTGGGCTCGCCTGCGTGCGTCGTCGTCCACCAAGGCAACCTCCCGCTTGAACAGCAGCTCGTAGTGCTTGCTGGCCCCCTGGCCCGACGCGCAGCTGCCGCCGCGCGGCGCCGTCGCGAGCTGCATCTCGGGCAGCAGCGCCTCGGCCATCGGCTGGGTTATGTTGAGGCGCTTCAGGTAGGCCTTGCAGCTGATGGCGCGGGACATCCTGTTTTGGGGCGGTCGGTGGGGCCGCAGGCGGCGGGCGGCGGGGCGCGGGGTTGGGGGCGCGGTGAGTTGTGGTGGGCGGGGCGAGTTGAGTTGGGCGGCGCGGCGAGAAGCGGGAGGGGACGCGGCCTCCCGGTGGGCAATGGTCAGCGGAACGGCAGGGCGGGTGCAGGGGGGGGGAGGTATCGCCGCAGCACAAGCGGCCTCGGAGCCCTCCCCTTCGTCGAGCCGAACCAGCGGCACGCACTTGACAGTCTTGTCGTCCGTTGAACTGGGGGCCCCGCGCGCCCCCGCGCCCTGCGCCTCGCCGGCTGTCCCCCTAGGGCCGTCCGCCCCGGGCGCAGCGCCGGCGGCGGGGACGGCCTCTGCGGCTGGAGCGGCAGGCTGCTGCTTGGCTTGCTGCTTCTGCTGCTGCTGCTCGCGTCGGGAGGGCTGGCGCACTAATGGCAGCGGTGCCTGCTGCTGCTGCTGCTGCTGCTGCTGCTGCTGCTGCTGCTGCTGCTGCTGCTGCTGCTGCTGCTGTGAAGACTCCTGTTTGACCAGCGACTGCTGGGTGGTCAGCTGCTGGATGGCTGCTTGCTGCTGCTGCTGTTGCTGCTGCTGCTGCTGCTGCTGCTGATGTTGCTGCTGCTGCTGCTGCTGCTGCTGCTGCTGCTGTTGCTGTAGGGCTGCCTGCTGCTGCTGCTGCTGCTGCTGCTGCTGCTGCTGCTGCTGCTGTTGCTGTTGAGCAAGCAGTTGCGGGTGCTGCAGCGACGTCTGCTGCTGCAGCGGCGCCTGGTGCTGGAGGGACGCCTGCTGCTGCATCAGCGACGATTGCCGCTGCAGCGACCCCGCCCCCACCAGGTCTAGCCGCGGCGCCTGCTCAAGCTGCGGCGCCGCGGCCCCTCCAGACGGCGCGCCACCGCGTGCGCCCGCGCCAGCGCTCGCGATCAGCTGCTGCTGCAGCGCCTGCTGCTGCAGCAGCAGCTGAGTGATGGGGGCGCTGTACCCTCGCTGCAGGTGCCGGAAGTCGCCGCCACCAGGGCCCGCTGGCGCGGGCGCCTCGCTCGCCAACCGGCTGACCAGCGGCCGCGGCATCGGCAGTTGGTACTGCTGCGCTGGCCCCTCCATGCCGCCCCGCAGCCCTGCCGGCGCCGCGGGTGCCGCGTTCGCGGCCGCCGCCAGCGCGGCGTTCGCGGCCACGGCGGCGCCGGCGCCGGCGCTTAGGCCGTTGGAGAGGATCGGCGCCGACGCGGTGCGCAGCGGCAGCGCGGCAGAGTGCTGGCGGGCGGTGCCGACGGCGCTCAGGTATCGCAGCTCCTGCGGCCAGAGGGCCGCGGTGCAGGCCAGCACGCCGGAGGTGAACGGGCTGACCATCTTGTTGCTGCTGCCGCAGGAAGCGGCCGCGGCCGGCGGCAGGAGGCGCCCGCCGTCGGCGGCGCCCCCGCCGCCGCCGCTCGCGTGGCGCTGCATGGCGGCCGCCGCGGCGGCGACGGCGGCGACGGTGGCGTCCATGCCGGTTCCAGGTTCGAGCAGCAGCGACGCCGCCGGCTGGGACGTGGACGGCTGCTGCGGCCACCTCAGCTGCTGCAGCGCGGCGCCGCCGCCCATCGACGAGCCGACGCGCATCATGGAGGGCGGCGGCGCGCCGGCCGAGAACGACCCACCGGCCGGCGCGTCCCGCAAGGCCATGTCCTGCGGCGTCATGGCGGCGGAGGCGGTTGCGGCGGCCGCGGCTGGCGCCGAAGTGCTGCTGCTAAGGGTGCGCCACAGGGGCAAATCGCCGCCGGCGCCGCCGCCGTTGCCGGCGTGCGGGCCCCAAGTCGTGATGCTGCTCACCGCGCTGTCGCACTGCTGCGGGGCGCACAGGCGCTTGCTGGGGCCCTGAAGGGACTCGGCCTGCGGCGCGGGAGGGGGCGGGGCGCGGCCGCGGCGCCGTGCGGACGTTGGTGCCCAAAGCCGCACGATTGGACCGACGCCTCGCAAACCGTCGCAGGGTGCTGGTGCGCCTCCCCGCCACAAACATGCACGGCCATCGCGACTGTGGCACAAATCAGCGGTCGCAACAATAAGGCCCCCCACCTGCTGCAGGCCACCTGCCGATTTCTGCGGGAAAGCCTCGGCGGCGCGCTTGGTCCCGGTAGTCGACGCCGCGCCCTGCCCTCGCGGGGCCAGGTGCGGGGCCACGCCGCCATCGCGATAATGCTGGTAGTCCATTTGGCGTGCCGCTACAGGCCGCTGGGGCGCTCTGGCCGCTGAGCTCGCGGGCAAAGGGTCAGGTGGATCATGAGAAGCGCAAGGACAAATGTCGGCGTTTTTGTTCTCTTCGTTGTAACGGTAGCAGGTGGCACCATTGGGCCTTGTCGGTCGAGTGCCGGTGAAGCTGGGCGCATGTTCCCCTTCCCACGGGCCCAAAATTGTCAACCCCAGGCCATCGTGCCTGTGCAGGCCCTAGAACGCAGACAGGCCAATTCACAGCGATTTAGGAAGCGTTTGAAAGCTTTTGGGCGTGATTTGGCAGGAGTATGGGAGTCGGGCCGCCGCCGGAGTGTGCGATGAGGCAAGCTGACAAGCGGCGCACACACAGCCGCGGGTTAGTACCGTACGGGCATCGATACATTCACATGTGTCGGCCCATGAGGTGCGTTAAGTGCATGAATCTTCCGCTTCTATCCATCCACATTTTACCATCCCTCGCTGCCCCTGCGTCGAAACACTGCAACCCCGCTTCACAGGCATTTGCGTGGGTGTTATACTATGGCCGGGCACGACCAGCCCAAGCGATTGCAGGTACGACCCGAGTGGCTTAACTTTGCAGCAACTTCCTTTTTGCAGGCCATGTGCCGAGTTCGTTTTGGTTAACCAGCTTGGTTGCCGCAGGGTAGTCAAAAGGTGGTCAAGGCAAAGTTGGTACTACCCAAGGATGGAGAGACGCGCCCAGCGGAAGTCAAGAGGCATGAGGGCGCCGGGGCGAGCAGCCTTGGGATAAGGATGGGTGGTAGCAGCAGTGGCATCAGCGGCAAGCGAGGGCGAGCGCCAACTGCGCTACGACAGGATTTGCTGCAGCCCCGCACTGTGCGCCGTGCACAAGCAAATGCTAGGAACCAGCAGGCTCCCTACCGAACGAGCTGCATGTGCCTGACGCCGCAGGCAGCCTTCGGTGTTGGATTTGCCCGCCACTTTGCCCTTCACCCCGCGCGATGCCAATTGCATGCCCCCTCTACACCCAAAAACATTCACACGCACACGTGTGGAAACGTGCAAGAGTGTGTGAACTGACCACTCATCGGCAGAGCCTGTGCCTGCATCCTGCAGCATACAAAGGGGATGCCTTGCTCATGGCCTGCACAAACGGGGTGGCTGCTCAATTGCAGCTGACCGCGCAAGCACCCTCGGCCCGGCCAAATCGATGCCAGAGGCTTTCTGGCGTGGCGCTCAGATAACGTGCTGCGCCGCCCCCGAGCCAACAGCTGACACGCTTATCTAACCTGTCGCTAGCAACGGTCTTGAGCTGATGCAGAGTACTGTGTCCAGCTGCTGTAGACTGGGCGACTCACAGTGTCGACCAGGCGCGCAGGTGCGCATGCGCCTCTACCTCGCGGGAATGCTGTTGCTGTCAAGTCGTGTCCCATGAGCCTGAATGGCTCCAGGGGCGGGCGACCGCGGGATCTTGTAATATTGCTTATCCTAATCTGGCGGCTGCAACAAAGGATTTGAGCTCGCCAAGTGGGTGCCGCCCATGCATCAGCAGGCTCTGGCTGCTGCACCAGTGGTTGATGCTTGGCGCGTACTGCGCGAGCGCGGTAAGCAAGCTCCACTGGTTGTCGCCGCGGAGCAACAACACCGGGGCATGCACATCGACCGGCCGCGCGAGCGAAGGAAGGCAGGCAGTCGGCTATTGTTCAAACTTGCACCTGTGGTGCAGCGGGGCAGTCACTTTGTGCAGCGAGACGAGCAGGCAAACGCGAGCCCGTCTGAATTGTGCTGAATCTACAAGTTTTCAAACGTGCGCCAACTTTTGTCTTGAGCTGGCGTTTGCACGTGATTTTGAGATGGGTGTCCTGTGAGTTATGATACGGTAGTCAGCATCCTGGGCTGCACTTCCACACAGGTACACATTGCACGCATACTGACATGCACTAGGCATCAAATGCATATAAAAATGGTCAAACATGACATCAGATAAGATGCACTGCGCACAAATGGCACGTGCGTAGGTGTGCGACGCTTGGAGTCCTCAAGTACGGTTGACCATCCCCTGCTGCTCGACGCTTGCACGCACTAGGCAGGCATAGCCAGACAAACGGTATCATTAGCTATCATAGCTCGTCTGAAAGTGCACGTTCATGTTCAATGTGCTTGGAGGCCCTGTGTTTCGTGATCTCATCGTGGCATGCAGTATCATTGCAGTGTTTCAGTGCATAAAACATGCAACTTCAGGCGCGATGTAGCATTTTATCGAAACAATGGACAGGGCCCTCCAATCAAGCTGCATGGCGTGCGGCGCTTCGCCTGCACCGGCCACAGCAACGCGCTGCAGTCGCCCTCGCCGCCGCCGCGCCTGCGCCTGTGGCGCTGGCAGTTGCGGACGGGCTCCCAATCCGCGAGTGCATGGAAGAAATTCTGACTGGAATGGACAACAGCAATTGCCTGGTACTGCAGGCAAGTTGCTGCTTTGACTTGCGAGGGGTGGACGTCAAAATAAGGGGGACATTTCGAAACAGACATCTGCACTGCAGCGGCAGCCTGGCGGCCTCAGTTGCTTTCCCCCATCGCTCATCCCTTGCAGGCGCCGCCCGGCGCCGGGAAGACCACGGCGGTGCCGCTGGCGCTGCTGCTACACAGCCCCGCCTTCCTATCCGGCGGCAAGCGGATCGTGGTGCGCGCCGGCCGCGAACGCAGCATGCGACGGGGGCACCGACCGCGCCCCGCCGCCTACGAATGCAAACATGCGCAGGCGGCGGCGCGCTGCCCAATGGACGAGAGGCAACCGCCACCCTGCCTCGAGCTGTCGCGGACGCTCAGCGGCGGCCGTGGCAGACAGCCCGTTGCCACCCCGTCCCGCCTGCCCGGCTGGCCCATGGCACACACCTCGTCTCTGGAAATTTCTTCACCCTGCCTGAACCGCTGTCTCACATCCTCCACAATCCCAACTAGTTGCCTGTGCCCCTCAATCCACCCCTGTTCGTGCCTGCATCCCTACTTTCAGGTGCTGGAGCCGCGGCGCGTGGCAGCCAAGGCGGCCGCGCGCCGCATGGCGACAATGATTGGGGAGGCGGTCGGGCGCACCGTGGGTTATAGAGTCAGGCTGGATAAAAAGGTGCGGGGGGAGGGGGTTCTAGCCGAGCGCGCGTCCGGCCGTCAGAGA